GGGTAAGAGCAGACAGTCAGAACATGAGGTGGAGATAAAAATGCCTGCAGGACAGAGGAACAGGTACAGAGGGCGGGGAGAGGTGTATAACTTATTTATATGTATTTCTAGAGGCAAATTGTGTTGGGGGTGTGTTGTTGTTTTTTTTTACTTTATTTACTGGCGTTTTTTGACATTCTACAGGCTCTGTGATGTAAAATAACTTTGAAGTTGAGTTTTTGAAAAAAATCTGTGAGATTCCCCTTTACGTCCATATATTTGCAACATTGGGGTAAATCCATGCAATTTACAGAGTCTGTACAACTTGACATGTAAGTTTCATTGCACTGTCGCCAGCTACTTCTGCTGTGGCCCAGTTGTACTGGGAAGTGGGAATTTCTTACTTACATACAGTATTGTAAATCTAATCTGGAACACCCCTCCAGTGAAGTAGGAGAGTGCAGACTTTAAGACAGCAGCTACTCACCACAACTCAACAGTGAGTAAAAGTCACAGTTAATGAGTCGCCAATGTATTTATATCCAATGATCAGTGAGCATTTCATTGAAATCCGTTCACTGGTTCAAGAGATATGTTGTAAAAGCAACAGACACACACGGGCAAAAACATTATTGCCTTCATGTTCGCTGGTGGGCGATGATCCCAGGGATTAGACACCACCTCAGTGATGCTAAAGAGAAAAACAACTTGTGTGTGAAACAACTAGATTCACACGACCCCTAAATAATGCTAATTGTAAAGCTACCCAAAGCAACCGCATAAAAAAAGACGACCTCCAGGATTACTCTGTGCCTCCCCCACACCCCCCAAAAAAAGTAAATAAAAGAGAAGATGATGGCCTACTGGGGCGCAAAACGGTTTAAAATGAAGCAATTTGTTTTCCAATTAGGCAAAATACCACAAAAACAAACATCTTGAATGAGATGCAAATGCATTCACTAACAGAAAAAATGTGCAAAGCCCTAAACACAGGACTAAAAACATGAATAAAACCTACAATTTACACAAGGGGATCAAACAGGAATGTCCGGTTGCAGATGCAAGACAACAACCTAAAAATGCAAAAATTCAATATTTGGTCACTGGATAAATGAGTCACGTTTTTGATTTATTATTATTATTATTATTATTATTATTATTATTAAAAGCTAAAGCTCTAAAGAGCCTTCAGGTAAAAGATTGTCAGCATAAATTCAGCCACAGTTTCGTAAAAGGTGAGTGAATGAAGAGAAAATGAATGAGTGTAGCCTGAGGGTGTGACTGCAGCATCCCCTGCTGCCTACCTGCTCTTTGACAGAAGCCAGGAGGTTGTTGTTGGTGGTGGTGGTGGTGCTCTCTGATGGTGGTGGAGGTCCGTCTCTGACCCCCTCTGTGTTGCCCTCCTCCATATCTCTGCTTTGGTCTCAGGTGCCTTCTCTGACCCTGTAGGATGTGGACAAGGAGGATGCTTAATGACTACAAACTGGTGCCAAAGTGTGAGTTTACAGGACTGAAATGATCCTGCAGGGATTCAGGTCTGTGCATTTTAAGCCTCTGTGTTTCTGTTGACCTTATGGGATCATAACACTTCTATATCCTCATTGCAAACCTCCACAGCACATAAGGAAACACAACAGAAGCTCATAACATCACTGTTTCCCAAATATCTTTTAATCCGCTGATCAGTAAGCCTTTAATTCTGCATGCATTCATATATTTATCCAGCTCATTTGCAGGTTTGCATGCTCGTCTCGCATTTAACTGCATCATGAGAAATGTCCATCATCCTGAGCCACATGCAGCCCGTCTGCCAGCCAAGGACGAGGTCACACCGATTCAGCGGAGCGGGGATCCCGAGCCCGGTTCTCCTCCCCCAGAACCGGAGCTTCCAGTCCGCCTTCTTCAGCGCGACTCACCGGCCAGATGTTGCTGTGAGAAGCAGGCCACAGCTGGCTCGATCCGTCCGCTTTTACATCCTCCTCCTCCTGGCTGCACGCTGACAGCTACATTTCCCACGCGCCAACGTCACAAACAAACATTCCCGTGCACGTCCTCGCGCGTCTCGTGCGGTAAATATGGAGTCTTCCCTCTTTTTTTATTGCAATGATGATTATTTCCGGTGAAGTGTTTTAAGCGCACGCGTCCATCCCCGGGTGTCCGCGCGGCAAACAGCCTCCGCCGTGGACCATCAGCGGCGTGACGTCACCATGCGGCGATGGATTATTTTCCGATAAAAGGATCGATCAGGCGCCGCTGCGCGCCTCCGGGCTGCAGCTGCAGGAGGAGGCTGATGGAGCTGATGCAGCCTGCAGCGACGTGTGTCCCCATAGATCCTGGCGTCCCGGCGAGACAGGATAAACAAGAGTGTGTTTTTCTCCATTAATCCTTGGTTTCCATTAAGACTTTTTTATGGAAGCTTTTTATGGAAGTTTATGCAAAAAATCGGTCCCTTAAGGCTACGAGATAACGGCTCTAATTTAACTGTGTCAAAGTGGTGCAGATCTTTTTGAAGTGGGGTTTTGAAAGTCCTTTCAAAAACCTCAGTTTGGGGAAATAAACGCTGCATTCAGTTTCACCATCCCAACTGTGAAACACGGAGGTAGCAGCATCATGCTATGGGAGTGTTTTGCTGCAGGAGGGACTGATTCAGTTCACAGATGGAATCATGAGGACTGAACTTAAAATATTCTCAAAACATTGGGCCTAATGTAAGAACATGTTCGTATTCTTTTCCTAAATTTCTCTTACTTTTGTTCGTACAAAGGGTTCGTACGAACATGTCACGTCAGATTCAACAAACTCTTCTATCTTCAGGAAAAGTGTGTAAA